ACATTTCATAGTGTATCACTCATCCAGTTCACGTTCTTGTTATGATTGTAAACTAACACCTAGCAGCATAAACAGGGCAGGCTCTACAGCCCTGTGCTTCTGTAGCAGGCTTGGAGATTATTTGGATGTCCCGGCACAGCAGTATAAGTATTCTAAGCTTTTGACTTCAGAGCCATCTTCATTTTTCGCCAAAGGAGGGCCTCCAACTACACCAAACTTTTTCCGGGCATCGCATCTGCACTGGGGTTAAGGGTTTGGACTTTGGTGGTAGAGGGCTTTGGTTCAAATCTTATTTCTTCCACCAATGAGCTGGGCAAGATTGGACAAGTTATTTGGGGTTCCTGAGATTCTCAGTTTAAAGGGTGAGTGAAATGGCCAAGGAGGCAGGTTGAATGAGGTAATAAAGAAGAGGTTATCGGTGCAGTTGTTGACTAGGAACTGGGCTCACAAGAGGTGGCTGGGAGTGGAGCCCAGGGCACCCAGGGACTGGGTCACAGCTATATCAGCACCAGTGCCTGGGGGCCTCGGGCACTGCAGACACCTCAGGGTTACACCGCTGAGTAGGGTGGTGTCTCCTGGCCCTCAATTTCCAGTCACTTTTGCCCTATCTTATCTGCAGTTATCAGATCGACGGTCCTGCAGTATTTGCATTTCCTAGTTAAGAAGAATTTAAGTTACTTCCCTGGTCAATTACTAGGCCAAGATCAGAAGTCATCTCCTGAATTTCAGTCCATTTGCCTTTCCATGATGATTTTTCTTATGGCTCTATATTACCAAAATGTATGAGGCAACCATAGCAAACCTTTTAGGGCTTTCAAGGATACAAACAGCCTGCTGCTGGGCATGGGTGCCGTAGGTTCGCCACCAGTGGTATAAGGTAATTAAGAGACATGATCTTAACTGACAAAATTTGTTTAAAGATAGTGTTTAAATATTTGTTGCAGATATTTTTAGAAAAATTGAAGTAAGATATTGTTGATTACTTTGGCTTTCTGCTTCTGAGAAGTTCTGAGCCCAGGAAACATCATTTTCTACCAGTTGGGGCAAAAGATCACCAGGAACACATCTGACCTAGGGGGAAAGGAAGTGGCTGGCAGTCACACAGGGGTGGGTGCTTTCAGGGTCTCCAGTTGCATTTCGGAGATTAGGCTCAGAGGTGATCCGTGGTTCTGAGTTCCTCCCACATGTCAGGAGTATGGTTTGAAGAGAAGGTCTTTGTTTGACTGGAAGGGACCTTTTGTCTGTAGCCTGCTTATGTGTAGGTGCCCATCTGTACACGCTGCAGTTCAAGATGGTTGTTCACTTAGATGATAGCATATTCTTTTGACTCTAAGTAGCATCCTAATCATCATCACAATGAAAAGGAATATTTTATTGGAAAATAAAGACAAGAGTCTCTATTGGAATATAATACGCTAAACTCTTTAGTTAAAAGAAACTATTGTGAATCCAAGCTCACTTGAATTAAGCTCACTTCATTAAGGAGCTCATAGCTCTTGAAAATAGTTACTCATACTTTCCTGGTGCTTTAGTTTATTGTTCTTGGCAGGTTTAGCTTCTCAAAAGTGGGAAGAGTACAGTTATTTCCATATTTCAGAATTTATTGACAGTTGACCAGCGAACTGAAGAATGATATGTGCCAAAGGAAAATTAAACACATTTCTTCAGAAAGCAAGATGAGATTAAAGGTGTTTATTTTGTAACTAACATTTGATTTATTCTTGGATAATACCAAAGGGTTTGTGGGATTGTTTCATAACATAATGATTATCCTTAAGTCAAAAAGCAAATGATGAATAAGGCCCTTGCAGATGGATAAAAGGGATGCGTCCTATTAGACAACAGCTGGCAGGTGCAGCTGAAGGGACATCAGCACAGCCTCCTTGGGGGTGGCAGGGAGACACACTGCTGCTGAGACTTTGTAGATGATTGCGTCTGAGTGACTCACGGCTGAAATCCAGTGACTGGTGATGTGTTAGGAAACTGAGCTCAGGCTTTAGAAAATACGTCATTTTAGACTGTTGAGAAAGAACAAAAGTGGAGCATGAGAAAACTACAACCAGCAGATTAAATTTAAATTTATTTGATACTGAATTTTGTGAAATCTTGAAATGTATATGAGACTATAGAATTGAATACTATCAATATTTGGTCGTATTTATGTAAAGCTCTAAAAATAAATGTTATAAAGATAAAATCTTAAAAAAGATAAAAATAAAAATAAAATCTTAACAATTTAAAAACTTTTTTTGTTTGTCCTCAGTGTTTTTCATCTCCACTCCCTGCCCGGGCCTGTACCCAAGAAAACAGCTGTCATGTGTGGTGTTTTGTGTTGTTTTTAATGTTTACATAAATATCTCCTGACAATATGTAGTACAATATGTAATTGTAACTTCATGCCTTTTGGATCGTGCCATGTATATCTTATGAAACTTGATAATTTTCACTCACTCTTATGTTTTAGGATCTACCTATGTGGAAAATATTGAATGGTCCATTTCTTTCATTCTTTTAAACAGCTTTATAGTATTCTGTTGTATGAATATTTTATTTATTCTTTTGCTTATTAAATATGCATGTTATCTCTGGACATTGTTCTAGAGACACCTAAAATAAGCATACTTTTCAAGACCAAAAAATAAATCTCATAAGAATTTAGTTCTATAAAATGCAGAATGTCTATTGATTTCTGTCATGATCTGTAAGAATTATACCATTTCTTAATTTTAGCACCATCCCAAATTAGAAACACAGTACTCATAGTTACATATGTTTCCTTTTTCCATCATTAGATGCTTCTGGTTGAAATGCATTATTTCTTTGTGGAACTCTATGAAGTCACTGCCGGAGCAGCGATAAACAACAGTGCCAGATTTGCGCGGATCGGAGTCTCCCAGAGCCGCGACGCTCAGAGCCTCGCCTGTTTTTCTGTGGGTTCCCGGCTGGCCGTGGCACATAGGAAGGCCACGCTCATCAGCCTGCAGGTGACCAGAGACTCTGCGGCGAGACCCACGGTGTCTGTTAGCTTTAGCACCCAGGTGAGCAGCTTCCATTTTCTGCTTCCGCTGTGGCCAGTGTCATGGCAGAGTAGTGGGTGCATCTGCTTCCAAGGATACCACAGTAATTCACATTTTATTCATTACACTAAACTTTATTCTTGCAGCAGGTCATTTTGTTCTCAGCAGCAACACATCATATTTTAAAATGATAAAGTTTTCTATTTTTCTTTCCTCTTTTGACAGAGTTGGTTATACAGTGCAGAGTATCTCCCACAAAACTTTTAAATCTCTGGTGGGTTAAAATGTCTTCTGGATGTAGCTACATAGACCAGAAGCAGAGTATGGGGGTCTTGTTAGGGATTGTATTTGTGCTAGTTGAAAATATAACCTCCAACATTGGCTGATCTTTCGGGTTCTTCACATCCATGAGCTTGGGTGACCTCATGGCCACGTTATCACATCCATCCTGTGAGGTGGTTCGGGTGAAAGATGGGAAGCAGACAGAAGCTAGAGGCCTACAGGAGCAACAGTCCCTAACACTAAGTGACAGATCTGTTAGCCCAAACAACGCCACCTGCCTTTCTGGTATTAATGTGCACTTCAACTCAGCAGTAAAAGTCTAATATCATGAAAGAATGTGTATCTGCTGTACCAGACACATGGTTGCGGTGATGATGTTTCCTAACTGAACCACCTGCTCACCCCCGACTCCTGTAGCTCCAGGAAACCCACAATTTGGAAACCATTCTGAAAGGTGATGTCATTTACTCTATTTCAGGATTCTAAACCTGGTGATTTTAGACCTCAGGTTTACAAAGTTTTATGAAAATTACCGTGTGGGGGTTTAGAGATAAAACTCAGTGGCACAGTGCTTACCTAGCATGTGTGAGGTCCTGGGTTCAACTCCCAGTATCAAAAAGAAAAAAAAAAGAAGCTGGTGTAGTATATGTTTAGTTGTGTCCAGTCCGCGCTTAGTTGCATCAGTTGTTTGAGGGTGACTCGACCAAGTAAACAGCTCTGTGCATCACCTGCCACACAGGCACATGACCAGCACGTTGCAGTCAGGCATGGGGCTGGGGCTGGGGCTCTCCTGGACTCTCACAGGCAGCAGAGCTTCTTTCTGTGACAGTCTACAGCTCAGCTGTCAAGAAGAAAAACTCTCAATTGCACGAGACCCCAAAATAAGCTCCATTTTCCAGAGCCTTGAAGAGGTATGAACACAAAGAGACAAATTCTGATTCCTAGTGCAGAAACTTTAGTGTTTTTGTCAAGAGTGTTTAAGGTAGGAAAAGAAATAAGAAAAAGTACGTTCCCTTCTCCCTCTCCTGTGAGGTGTATATCACAGTGTGCTTACCTTTTTCAGGGTGGAGGAAGAGGGCTGCAGATGAAGAACCATGGTAGACAGTTTGAGGCCCATTTATAAGCAGTTCATACCCTCAGGTGATAGGGAGTTGAAGTTGCCTGAAGAAGACTGAATTCTAATATCTCCATCACTTTCAATCTTGTTTTTTCTAGACTCATCATTCTTTGCAAAGCACATGTTGTCATGTAACGAATATGTAACTCATAAAGGACTCTTACCTGTGGGATTAGATATATTTATGAATTTCTAGGTTTCCCTACTATGATGTTTAATTTTATGTCAGTTTGACTGACCACAGGGTATGCATATATCTGGTGAACATTATTTGTGTGTTTCTGTGAGGGCATTTTAGATAAGACTCATGCTGAAATCGGCAGACTGGGTGATTGCAGTCAGATCGCCCGTAATGTGTGTTAGTCTCACCTCATCAGTTGAAGACCCAAGTGTAAGAAAGAGGCTGACCGTCCCCTGAGAAAAAGAAAATTCTTCCTGCCTGGCAGCCTTTGAATGGGAACACTGGCTTTGTCTTTCCTTCATGCTCAGTTGGAAGGATGGACTTTCCTGAGTCTCAGGTCTGCGGGCCTTAGAGCTGTAACTACACCATTGGCTTTCGTGTTTCTCAGAGCTTCAGTCTAGAGTGAGCTGTGACTAAGCCATCAACTCTCTTTTTGTCTTCAGTTTGCCAGATCACCCTGAAGGTCTTGGAACCCCTCAGCCTCCCCAGCTACATGAGCTTATTGGTTATAATCTCTCTCTCTCTCTCTCTCTCTCTCTCTCTCTCTCTCTCTCTCTCTGTGCACACCCTATTAATTCTAGTGCAATACTATCCTTCAGTTGAAGACTTAGTGGAGTCCTTTTGGCAGTGCCATAATACTGATGCCATTTTAACAAACACAATAGAAGTAAAGAATGGAGTCTACAAAGTTTACTATAAATAGAAGACTTCTGTTTCTCGAAAGATGGAATAGATGTGCTTTTCCCTGCTAAGTACAATTAAAGACCCTGGACATTATGTATACATGTATAATCATAACAGCAACAGGAAACTGAAAGCTGGAAAGGAGAAAGCAGATTAGCTAGGGACCTGGGGACCCAAGGAGTAATACAGTGGGACATATCCAGGATTTTCTTTTTCCCTTATATACCAGACTCTGATCAGAAGGAATTTGCATACAGAAACACTAATGAGAAAGAATATTTTTAAAAACCTCTCACAAAGTTTGCTCTCTCTAGTTAAAGAAACAGAAAGGCAGCAGCCTACGAAGAGAGAGAACCATTAAAAAGTTTTTTATACTCTAGACAAATGTTCCAGAAAATAACTGACCCCAACTGTATCCATACCAGAAGAAAGTGAGTAGGGCATCTAGATTTCTGCCTTTGCTAGAGCCGTCAGCCTCCAGCCGGCATTGTGTCTGAGGGACCAAGTAGAGAGTTAGGGCTTTCTCTTTGGCCTAGTAGTAAAAAGGCCTCCAGCCTCATGTGGCATTGGCAGAGACCACTGGGGAGGCACAGAAAGGCACTCACACCCTTTAACCATGGAGTGACGGTGGGGGCCTAACTTGGGGCAAACTCCTACCCCACCTAGCAGTAATGAGTTCTCTCTGCCTCCTCTCACTCCAGTATCAAAGAGGTCAGATGGGAAAACTACACTGCTACCTCCACCTGTCAGTAATAAGTTAATAACCTGCCATTTCCTACCAGAGCAGTGTTGAAAGAAACCAGCTAAAACTGTAGGCTTAAATAACATCTAGCCTCATAAAATAATATGCACAGTGTCCAGGTTTCAATTAATCATTCATCACACCATGATCAAGAAAGATCTGAAATAGTATGAAAAACAAAAATCAACAGATGCCAATAATAAGAAGGCAGAAATATTAGAAGTATCTGACATAATTTTAATGCAACCATCATAAAATGCTTCAGTGAGCAATTACAAGCATTCTTGAAACAAATGAGAACAACAGAAAGGCTCAGCAAAGAAATAGGAAGCCCTTGCAAATAAATAGAGGACATAAGAAAGAGCAAATGCAATTTTAAAGCTGAAAAATACAATAACTGAAATAAACTGAATAAATAAGCTCAGCAGCAGAATGAAGTCAGAAGAATCAGTGATTTTGCACAAAGAGTAATGGAATTATCCAGTCTAAAGAGCCCAAAGGAAATTGATGCAAAGAATCGAACAGATTGCCAAGGACCTGTGCAACTATAATGGAAGTTCTCGCCTCATATCTTTGGAGCCTGGAAAGGAAGAAGTCATTGGAGTTCAGAAGGAAGCGAACAAGGATGAAAATGTACATCAAGGAAAGTACTTCTAAATTTAGGGGCACCATTAGTGACATTTCTTTTCTAGTTCTCTTCTTTCATCCTCTCACTCTAAGGCATCTACCTTCCGTACTTCATCACTGTGTGATGTGTCTTTCGCTCTCTAACTTATCAAAGGACGTTAGAAAAATTATGAAAACTCACTTTTCAGTAGTACAGTTATTATCGCCCTTCATTTTCTTAACAGGATAGGATTTGTTTAAGAAATAAGAGTGAGTTTATGGCAAGATCAGAGATACTGTGGTTTCACTTCAATGTTACTGTTTAATTTCCAGGAGTTGAGGGGTGCTGAAACAATTGGTCGGACTCTTGTATCTCCAGCTGTCTCTGGGAAGGATTTTGAGAGAACGGAAGGCACGCTGCTCTTTGAGCCCGGCCAGAGAGACTCTGTGTTGGACATCATCCTAATGCCAGAAACAGGGTCTTCAAGGCCCTTTCCTAAGCGCTTTCAGGTTGTGCTTTTTGACCCGAAAGGTGGTGCCAGAATCAAGGGAGTATATGGGACCACCAACATCACTCTCATCTCTGATGCAGCCTCACAGGCCGTCTGGGGGCTTGCAGATCAGCTGCAGCAGCCCCTGGACGAGGACATTCTCAGGCGAGTGCTGCATAGCATCAGTGTTAAAGTGACCACTGAGAGCACAGAGGAGCAGCTCAGCGCCGCGATGCATGTGATGGAAAAGGTACGAGGTCCTTGTGTGTATAAACACTCAGTCCAGCAGAATGTCACGAGTTAAAAATCCATACCACAAGTCACGCTGTGTTACACTGTCAATTGCTGTAAAATGATGATAAAGTTACATTTCTGAACATGAGCCGAACTCTTTGCATCCAACACTGTACTTTTGCCTGGAGGTGACAGATGCCTGGTCGACACCCTGAGCCTAAAACTGTGGCATTGGTGAGTAATGTAGGTCAGCAGGAAGGACAGCCAAAACCTGAAGAGAGGCAGAAGATGTTAGACGCTTCAGGTTCCTCCTGGTTCTCCAGAAATGGCTGATTATCACTGCCATTTGATCCTGCTTCTTGAGTCCATAAAAAGAAGACTTGGAGATTATCACCATCTACATAGTCCTTTCCTTTAAACTCCAGGAGCCAGGAGCAGCTATCTCCTGTTCTGCTTCTCCTGCACATTGAAAACTCACAGGCAAGGTAAATTAAGGAACAGCCAGCTGTTTCAGACATTCAGTTTGCCATGGACTTGAATCACCCAGGTTTTACTTTAAACCTGTTTATTAAGAATATCAATGATGGGCCGGGGATTTAGCTCAGTGGTTCCGCTGCCTGCTTTGCAAGTGGAAGGACCCGAGTTCGATCCCTGGTACCAAAAAAAAAAAAGAATATCAATGAAAAAGAAGATGTTATTAGTAATAATAATTTTTTATTACTTAAGGAAGGGCAATGATGTTGGGGATTTATTTGGGGAATTTTTCTGGGAATTTATTTTGGGCTTTTGTATCAAGACATTTCTAATCGACATATGTATGTACAAGTATAAAAAGTTTGGGGTACATACATATGAATTATTAATTTGATAGTTCTTGCATAGTGACATTTAAATATTTAAAATATTTGCAATGGGGTTTTAGAATATCTTGCCTATCTCGTATCCTATGATATTTCTTTAATACAAGATTTGAAGGGTCACAAAAAAGGACATTACAAGTAGAGGGGGGAAGGCCATGCCTAAGAGTGTGTAAAGCTAAGAGAAATGCCTGCTGTCCCATGCCGAGAATGTTTAGAGATAAGAGTTTACTCCAGGAAATATCGTTACTTAAATTTTCTATGACAAAAACGGTGTGGAACAATACCAAGTTGCTTTTGGCTAAGAAGACAGAAAGTATGCAGAGTAACTCTGTGCTAGGGTAAAGCAGAGAATGCTGTTTCACGTGTTTTATAGAAGATGGAAAGAAATGCTGCTGCTTTTTTTAAATCAGTAAGTTATGTAAAAGAATAATGGCTTTTATTGGTCAAGAATCAACACTTATTTCAAATACTGTATTTTGATCACTTTGTTTTGTTTTGTAACTTTTAATGCCTGCTTGTCGTAAATACCTAATGGGTGTTGTGTGCAAGCATGACAAATGGCTGAGGGAGCATTTGGGGCAAATACATGTGTGACAATATTACTTTGGCATTACTGGTTATAATAACAAACAATGGAAAAATTATGGCCCTTAAGAGGGCCTGGTTAAATCAATTCTGGTGTAATCTATGACATACAGTCATGTGTCACAGAACAATATTTCGGTCAGCAGTGGACCACATGTACAACAGTGGTCCCGTAAGACGGCAATGGAGCTGAAAAATCACTGTCACCTGGTATTTTTACTGTGTGTTTCCTATGTGTGTATATGTTTAGATACAGAAACACCATATGTTATGAGTAACTACAACATGCAGAACAGTACCATGCTGTGCAGGTTTGTAGCCTGGGAACAACAGGCTAAGGTATAGAGCCTAGGTGTGTAGAGGCTACACCGTGTGGATTTGTGTAACTACACTCTATGATAGTCACACCAGGAAGAAATTGCCTTGCATTGCTTGGAATGTGTCCCCATTATTAAGTGACACATGACTGTAGGGCATATATTTTTTTTCCCATGTTTTAGACATGGTTATATAAAACTAACAGTACAAGCCCAGAAAATGTTGTTAATCACATAGAGAGAAGGTAGTGAAATTTAGCAATAAAGAGTGCCAAGTTAAATTTGGATTTCAGTAAACAACAAATAAATTTTGAGCAAAAATATATCACAAATACTTAGTTGGGACATACTTATAGCAAAAAGTTATTGTTTGCTAATCTGAAATTCAAGTTGAGTTAGCTGTGTTTTATCTGGTGCTCACTCATATATACCTTAGGAAATTAATATGCACTCTAAACTCAGAGATACAGCGATGGCAAACCTTTCAGAGACCCGGTGCTCAAAGTACTCCTGGTATCATTGTCTGTCACCGCTGCTCCTTTCCGAGCAGGGCCGTGGCCCCTTTGTGCGCTGCTATCTGATGCTGGGCTCATGGGCCACCGCTGGCTAGGCTTTCCCAATGCTGGATACAGTTTTGGGCTTTAAGATACTATGTTTTCAATGAAACTGTTTCACGTTTGTTTTATTCTCCCCCCCCCACCCGGGTTCTAAATTCTTTGAAAGAGAAGCTGTTCTGTTCTTTTTATTAAGATCTCAGCAAATCTTAGTATTGCACACACTAGAAGTAGCTGCTTATTTAGGTTAAAGTGATAAAAATATTGTACTAAAATCAACAGCTTTAAATGATTCCCTGTAAATATTTTCTGGATAAAGTTAGCTGTGTCTTTAGGCAAATTTTTATGTGATATAATATCCTGTCCTCTCATTTTCCCAGGTATGATGCAAGAAAAATTATTTTTAAAGCTGGCACTTGCCCCAGTAACAATATCAGTCTCTCAAATTCCCAGTGGATTTGCTATTCCGATTCTTAGTTTCATTGGGTTTAGTTTCCTGATTATTGAAGCATGGTAAAACATGAGTCATGAGGTCTAATTTCGTGTTCTGGAACACTTGAAGAGCTGAGGAATGATTTGTTCTGTGAAGTTGGATCAACCATACCCAGGGGTCCAGGGGTCTCCATTTCCATCCTGATCGCTTATAAAATTTTTCCCACAGTTGATTTAGATCTTCTGTTTGTTCCTAACTGAATTTTGATAACTGTGGGTGTTCTTTTGTTGTTATTTATATCTAGTGGCTTTTTTGAACTAGGCTATTTATTTTTATCACACACTTGTTAATATTATGTGTTTGGTATCAGGATTATTTTGTGTATGGTATGTTTTATAATAACACCAGCAGTGATTTCGATTTCACTCCATATTTTACTGTCTGGTTTTGCATTTCATGCTGAGAGTGATTCTGAAGGACTTGTTTGTGCACAGTGTAGGTGGGGTCGGGAGCATCCTGGGCCAGGGACAAGTTAATTATCGTCTTTCTGCCTCAAAACTAGCAGTAAGCCCTTCTTCCCAGGATTCGTAGGAAGATTAGAGAAGTTAGTAGAAAGTCCTGAGGACTGCCAAGTGCTCATGCCAACCAACCATTACAGAAATGACATTTTTGTTTTTGTGTATTTTAGTAAGAAAAAACAAAACTTTATATTTCCCTTGAACATGAATGAAAGTTTAGGTAGCTCTAGAATTCTTGAATTGTAACCTTTAATTCTTAAAATTCTGCTCATGTTGCTCTGCTGGCTACTGGCATTTTATTTTCAGAAATGCCTGATGTCAAACTGAATTTTTGTTTCTCTATTAGTAATTTTTCCCATCTGATTTCTAGTATGACTTGTTTATTTATATATATTTTTGGTACCAGGGATCAAACTTGGGACCTTGCGCTTGTGAGGCAGGTGGCGGAACCACTGCGCTAAATCCCCGGCCCTCTAGTATGATTTTTTAAGCTCTAGAATAACATTTAAAAAATCATCCAGATATATCTGATATTGTCTCTTTTCCTATTTTCTCTACATTTTTAGACATGAGTATTTCTTTAGTTTGTTTAGTTTAGTATTTCTGTGTTATTTTCCTTTTATCCAACCTGCTCTTTTATGTGTTTATATCTTAGGGGTTTATCCTAGGATTTGTCCTGCTTGTCTGTTACACTTTCTCTGAGCTCTGGGAGATTTTTCTTCATACTCCTGGCTGAAAAGATTTTCTGATTTGGTTTTCTGATTTAGTCCTTTATGAAATTTAGTGATATATGGAAGCTTCTGTTCATAGAAAAGCAAATAATTAAGAATAATCCCTTCCATTATAAATAAATATTCCTGAGGTACTTATTCCCTTATCTGTTGGTCAAAAGAAAAAGAATCTTTGGAGTAGATAAAAGTGGGATTAATTTTAATTCATGATGTTAATTATTATAGTTGAAATTAAGTGATCCATGCAACCATTTTGGGCTTTAATGATTAAATAGAAAATATTTTGTGATCATGCTTTTCTTCATAAATGATTATGTATTTTTAAATTGCAAATGAATGTATTTGAAATGTAATTTTGATGCATTTCTCTTAAATTCATCGTAGACTCATCTTTATTTTGTTAATATTACTAACTTAATAAAGAACACATGGGATATACACACTGTATGTAATTTATAAAGTTTATTTTTTCATATTTCCATACTTGACTTTTTCCAGATAACTGTTGAAGGAAGAAATGAAGCTTTCAGTGTTGAAAGCCGAGCTCTCTTCTACGAGATCCTTTGTGCTCTTGTTAACCCAGAGCGTGAGGATACCAGAGGGTTCAGCCACCTCACTGACGTGACCGAGAGCTTTGCCTTTGCTCTGCTGACTGATGTTCCCTGTGGCTCTGCTGCTGAGAAGTGAGTGCCTTCCACCGCACCCGCCGTACGCCCTACTCCCTGTGTTTCTTCCTGTTTGCAGTGTCATCTAAGTGGACATGGAGGGGATGTAACTGGAATGATGGGGCCAGTGCATCAGACCTGTTGGGCAAATGAAGCTAATTGTTTGAAGCAAACATGGCAGGGACACCAAGAGTAAACTTAACATTGTCAAGAATATATTCCTCTCATTTCAGAATGTCTTGAGAGTTCAAAAGTCATTGTCTTAGTTACTTTTCTGTCATTGCTAAGACACCCAGAATTAAAGGGAGAACGGTTTACTTAGCTCACAGTTTGTAGAGGTTTCAGTCCATAATTGGCTGGCTCCAAGGCAGAGTGGCACGTGGCAGAGGGGCAGCAGTTCATGACAGTGGAAGACAGCAAAAGCAACAAGAAACCTTAACAGCGTCTCTCCGCCCCTTTTATCTTATTCAGACTACTTAGGGCAGGTAGCACTCACGCCCTTAATCCTAGTGCCCTTGGGCCTAGCCCCACCATGAATCAATCACACACTCTAATTCAGCCACTTCTGAAAAGCAGGAGGCTCTGCGGGGACCTCTAAACACAAGCCCTGTGGTCCTGGTGCCTGCTGTAATTCAATGGATAGAGGATGGATTCTGAGTGGAACAGAAGGAAGCTGATTCTACCCTTAGGAGTGTTTTCCTGCGCTGCAACTGTGCATCTCTTGAGGGCGCTGGTGTTGAATCCCCCTGGAGACATCTCAAAGGATGTGGGTGAACTTCAGCTCTGTGGTTCGTGGCTGGAGTTTCACGGCAAGCTTTTCATGCACCATGGCATATAAATGATATTCATTAGATAAAGTGGATTGTTGTAGCTCAAAGCTAAAAATGTTTTATTTCTATTTGAGAACATAGAAATCATTGGCAAAAAGAACATGGTTTGAAATGAAATTCCTCTCGATTTTCAGAGTAAATATATGCTACCCCAAATCAGAGACTATTAAATGGGACACATCTGGTTAAAATGCTTATATAAAGCTTTATAAATGTTATTATTCTCAATGACTGTTTCACTGTTTATTAAGTCATATAGAAATTTAGAGAAATTTTGAATACGTTTAAAAACTTGTGTATGGTAATTTAAATCATCTCATTTACAGGGCCTTTTATGAACTCTGACAGGTTAACTAAAAGTTGGTTGGATACATAAAACTTTTACTATTAAATCTTAAATCACAGGACACAAGAAGTTAAAAGACATAGTCAGTCCACATATAAGAGAAGGATAAGAGGAACCAAGAGCTAAAATAATAAGTTATATCAACTGTACCTTTGCTGTAGTCTTGACTTTGTATTAAATTGAACAATATGATTAGATTCTTTTGTAATTTAAAATATTACAATATTAAATTGTAACAGTTAACCATAAAAGAACTGATTGGGTCTGGTGCCTCTGGGTTGGTAGTGCCATTCTTACTAAAGAACAGGGTCCCTGCCCATGTGATACATTCTGACCAAGATAAGTGCATGTGGTGGAAGTACAGGCCATGTTAGCTGACGCTTTGCTTTTATCTTACAGAAGCAAAACCATCCTCGACAGCTGCCCATACTTGTCAATAATGGCTTTTCACTGGGATCTCCAGCAAATCAATGGGCACAAGTTTGTAGGAAAGGAAGGTGATTATATTCAAATTCCAGAAAGGTTATTGGATGCTCCCGATGCAGGAACAGTGCCTGGAGAAAGTACCTGTAAATTAGTGCAGTTTACAGAGTATAGCAGCCAGCAGTGGTTTGTAACTGCAAACAACCTTCCTGCCCTGAAAAATAAGGTAATCTGTCGTTCAAAAAATTATGAGGTTGGAATCTCTTTTTCTTTAACAGACACACTCAGAATGTATTTGTTTGATCAGATTTTTGACAATGTTATACAATTTAAATACTAGTTTATCATGAAAAGTGCTGTCTTTATGAACCATTTAAGAATGTTTCATTTGGAAATGTTTTTCATTTTCTATTAAGTAAAATGTGTATGTGTATATGAGGAAAATGAGAAAAATAAAGGTTTCTCTAATATATCATATCATATACCTCACTCTTGATGAAGCCAGCTAATGATAGTTACAGGTGAACTTTATCAGCTGAAGACTTTTTACTGGGGAAGATAATGTGAGCCATAATTTATGGAAGGAAATACATGAATGACCTTGGGAAACATATGTATAAGTGGCTCCAAAACATTGAAAAATGAGGAAGGAATCTTAAATGAAGTGGGGGTAGATTGGATACAATACAAAACCAGATGGCATTGCGTTCATAAGGGAGCTAACTGTTAATGGCAGAAGGAATCAAGTGACTAGTTCTAAGAAAAATCAAGCTGTGTTCAGAGTGGGAGACTGAGTCATGACACTAAGTCGAAACACATTACATTTTCTGCTCCTTTTTGACATTATAGGTATTATCTTTGAGTGTGAAAGGCCAGAGTTCACAAGTCCTGGCTAACAACAATGAAGTTCTCTATAGGATTTATGCCGCTGAGCCCAGAATTGTTCCTCAGTCGTCTCTGTGTCTCCTTTGGAATCAGGCAACTGAGAGGTACATTTTAATAATTTCTTAGGATTAGAATTTGGTCTTCCTCATTCCACTTCTTCATTGTACTCCACATAGGTGGCAGCTTCTGGTGGGGCTGCAGGCTGGAGAATAACCCTCCAGTAAATAAGATGGTGCTGTACTGGGGATGCTGTAGCCATGGCACATGCAGCCAAGTGACCTGCATGTGTGTGCAGCTCAGGGTTTCCTTCAGTGCTTCTCTTCCTGGGTTGTAGCATGAGCTCTGAGCAACCCAGATCACTTTTCTAACGTTCTCAGTTAACTTGTTGGGCAGGAAAGGCATTTTATTTCATCTGGGCTGGTGATTCACCAACGTATGCTCTACATTTAGAGGGGTTGGCAGGATTTGGAGCTCTGCTTCACAGAGGGGTTGGTATACACTTGGGGATTAAAGCTAGGTGTGGGAGTGGTGAGAAAAGAGCAGTTCTTTCTCTGAGTCTTGTTGGCCTCAGGACTCCCATTTCTGAGTAGATGCTGTCGCTCATCCAGAGGGCGAGGATTTGTATGAGTCACCAGATTCTGTTCTTCCTGAATTTCACCCGCACAAACTAAGCTTCTAAATAGGCTTAATAAATAGTTCACTGGATTAATTGACTGTCTTCTAAAACACCAAGATTCCTGTTTGTCTTTCTTTGTGAGGAAACATTTTGGATTTCAACTCCTCACGCCTGATAGTAGATCTTAAACCCTGACTTACAATGGTTCAGCCCATGACTTTCTGTTGTTGGATGTGCCAAAGTGAACACGTTCAGTAGAAACCATACTCAGAGCCTGAATTGTTATCTCTCTTGTGATGCTGAGCAGCCACACGGCCATAGCTTCTCATGAGCCATGCTGTCATGGGGGTAAAGGACTGAGGCCACCGTGTGCCATGTGGCTGAGCTCTGACGTTCAGTAGGTTACATGTGCTCGGTGCATTTTTGACTTACAGTATCTTCCATGTGCAACGAGTTTATCAGGTTGTAATCCCAGTACGAGCCATAGGTATTCTGCAATCCTCAGTGTATGATTAGCAGTGAATCCTTCCAGCTTAAATCTGCAGTTTGGATTAGGAAGTTTCACGTCCTTAGAAAAGTAATGGAATCACGATGCACTGAGATGGAACAGGCTCAGCAGTCATCTCTGGGGAATGCAGAATGAGCCTACCTAACGAAGGAAGCCTAGAAGTGCCTTGGAAAACACAGTGGCTCAGTGGCTCCAAAACATACAGAAGATGAGGGCGGAATCTTAGAAAAGCTCACAGGTAATTCCCTAGTTCAAAATGTAAGGGTGTCTGAAAACACAAGGACAGATGAGCATGACTATGCCATGGGAAGCTGTCCTATGGGGGCTTCTGAGTGAGAGGGGAGTGGGTTTTTGGCAACGGCTGGTGCTACTCCCTTGAGAGGACCACTTCTTGCATACAGAGACTGCTGTGGCAGGTGAGGCTGGTATTGAGGCTGCTCCTGACCATTTCCTGAGGTAACTGTCAGCTCATGCCCCGGACGGGATGTTCTCTCCAGTGTTCCTGAAAACCCAGTCTGCTTAGGTCTTCAGTAAGGAACACCTATGTTCAAACAAGTGATTTTTCCTGTAACAGACATCTCTGCATCTTTAGCATCGATGCAATGGGAGCAGTGACTGCTGTGTTTTGCCCTAGCTGGTGGCCTGACAGCCCGCTGTGCAGAGTGGTGGGGGTCACCACAGGCTACGTGGACTGCGCCTGCTCACACATGTCCGTGTACGCCGTCTATGCACAGACGCATACCCTGTCTGCATACAACGAGGCCTTCTTCTCTTCCGGATTTATATGCATCTCAGGTCAGTGGCAGTATTTCCAGTTAATGATGTGAAATTTTGAGGAAATGAAAGTCTGCTTTCCCATAGATCTTTTGTAAATGCAAGACACAAACCTGCTGTCATTCATCACTCTCCTGTTGTCTTATTAATTCATACAACAGACATTTATGGAGGGCCAACTCTGTACTGTGGATTCAGTAAAGAACAACACGTAGCATCAACTCGTAAGGCATATATAGTGTGTTGTAGGATAGAAATTAGATCATAAAAAGGCTGCATAGTTTACAGTGTTGTGGTTGAGAGGGAAAGTTCTGCAGCCGGAATGTGAGGATTGTTTGAGGTAATACATACAGAGACTTTTGTAGTTTCCTTTAAGAAATATGCCCCATGGGTTGGTTAGCATTCTGTAACTTAGGAGCTCTGAGTAAACCAAGCATCATGTTAAAGAACAGATCATCTTATGTTCCTTATCTAGGCCTACTTCTGGCAGTAATAGGAACTTGAATTGTTTTAATGTCTGTCCAACTACTTAACTACAACTAAACTATCAAAACATTCATTTCTGGTATATTAATTATATAGTTGGAAGCCTAAGAATTCCTAATATTATATTTCTATCACCCACCTATCTACCACCCATTCTTGCCCTCATTCATGTTTTATAACCCCACAACTGCTTGTATGAATACTTTACTTGTTATGTAGAGAGCCAGGTGTAGGGTAATGGTTAAAGGTGTAAACGCTGGAGCCAGACTGCTTGAGTTCAAATCCTGGTTCTGCTATTAGCTAGTTGTAGAACCTACAGCAAATTACTTAGTTTTCACACCTTCCAGGCCACACCCACAGTGACGGCCTCTTCCACTAGTCTTCACCTCCCAGCATCACACCCAGCTGTAAACCCAGCAGTGGACTAATCCAGCATCACGCACCCATGGTCCAGTCACCTCCCACAAGCCCCACCTATGAGCACATGAGGCTTTGGGAGACATCTAGATAGAAGCCATAACGCTACTCATATAGGTTAAAAACTGTGTTATATATTAGAGTAGTAGATATATTAACTCAGACATTTCTAATAATCTGGTTCAATGATTTTTTTATAAATATGATTATCACTAAGTGCATTCTTATTTTGTGTGAAAATAACTCCCTGCATAGTCTATTAGAAAAATTTTCCAGATACAGAATTAAGTAATAAATTACTGTTTTTCTGTTTTGTTTTTTGACTTTCCAATATAATTTCATCTTGCATAGTTTTAAAATTTCTTTAATGTGTCTTAATTCTAAAACTTAGATTCAATGGCAAATATTAGTGTTTTCTTTTTCTTAATACTATCTTTTATAAAGGATGACATTTCTTATTTAATAGATATTTCTTGGTAGTACATGTAGCTTCAAAACCAGAGACATCTTATTTTATTTTAGCCAATAAATATAAAGAGCAAATAAATTTCATAGAATAATGCAATAAAACCAAAAGTTGCAATGAAACAAAATCAAAAGTTACAACATTGCACTGAAACTCTAGATGTCATTTTATGTGTTCCCATAGACATAAATTCAAGTGCTACTATAACCCACAAAAATTCCTTGCTCATTCCAGATGTTGAATATGAAGGCAAAGAATTTCTTTCTTTCTCTCTTCCCCTCTCCCTAATTCCTTTGCTCCCTCCCCTCCTTTTTTGCTGTGGTGCTGAGGATTGAACCCAGTACCTTCACATGGAGCTCCATCCCCAGACATTTGTATTTTTTACTTTGAGACAAGGGTCTCACTAAGTCACTAATTTGCCCAGGCTGGGTTTGAGCATGTGATCCCCCTGCCTCAGCCTTCCATAGTGCTGGGATTACAGGAGGGTGCCACTGTGCCTAGCTAGAAGTATCTTAACTAGTAAATTGTTCAATCAGTCCCTTGATAAAATAGCTCTATTAAGAAACTTGGAAGTAAGACCTTGGATCAAAATAAAAAATTTAAAAAGTATTTGGCTATAGCTCAAGTCAAAGGCCCTGGGTTCAATTTTATAAAATAACATATAAAGTAAAATTTAAAAATCTAAAAAGAGAATGTTTTCTGATTTTCTAGTAAACTAGCAAGACTATGAGGTGCTTCCTGGGAGAATTGTCTTGTGCCTTTGCTGAGCTTCAGGGAAAGATGAGCGCGTCCCTCTGCCAGGCCCCAGGAAATGGAGGAGAAATTGGTACTCCTTACAGAAACACTCAGTGATTTAGGTCAGGCCATACCGATATCCCTCTGAATTTGTTAGCAGTTAATTGGTGGTTCTTTTTATGAACTACAGCAGCATACAGTTAGACATGAATTTAAGCTTTTTTTGTTTTAATCCGAGTAGGTCACAGTGTGTCTGTACCAGTTCTAGTTTGCAGGTGTGGACACTTTGCTAGAGCAACTGGAGTGATCAAAGTGTATGAAGCACACAGAGACCAGAAGGCTTAGCGTGATGAAAATAGAGGTGCATGTCGTGGCATAAGCAGCTCACCAGACACTAGAAAACAAGAGAGTGACACAGTGCTGTGTGCACCTTGGAGTCCAGCAGAGTGAAATCATTGCCACGGTGATGGGAGAGACACCTTCCAGCACCTTCTTCAGGTGCCAGCGCCAGAGCTGTGTCACATGATGACTAGGGGCCTTCGCACGGGCTGAGGACATGTTAGAGTCCTGACAATGATGGCAAGGGGCCTCCCATGCCTTCCCAGAACTCGGCGTTGTTCAGTCAGTGACGCACTGTTGGGTGGGAAGGATTTGTCCTGTGTTTGCCCTGACATGAGTCCTCCTGTCCTGGAACCCCTGAGAGAACCTGCAGCATCCCGGTTCCCTCTGGTTTAGCAGGAGTCGATGAGCTGAGCGAGGCATCTGGCAGAGGCACCTGCCGGTGAGCCTCCTCCTCCTCCTCCTCCTCAGTTTGGAGTGGTTTTAAGCTGGGAGTAGAGCTGGGCTGTGCCTCCACTGTTTCTTGTTGCACCCAGTGAGAGAGAACCAACCAGAGACCGATATTAAATCCACACAGGAGTGTATTACCAGCCGGGACCTGAGCCGAGCATCGGACTCGAGCCCGGACTGGGAAGAGACAAACATGTTTTATACACCTTTGAGGCCAGCAGCTTCTAGGCCCCCCTATGGGATAGAACTAGCAAAGCAAGCAAAAGGTACAGAAGCAGAATGTCCTGCTGTTAGAACATTTGTAAAACAATAGTTGATTAATTGTTGTTTCTAGAGAGACTCTCTAAGGGGAGGAGGTTTCTAAGCTTCCTCCTTCTGAGTTCATCTAAAGGGCAGGCAGGTGGGTCAAGCAGCAATGTGGAGTCTTGTCTTGCTAACTAGGGTTCTTCATTTCTTTTTTGTTCTCTTATGGCAGAGAAATCTTTTTAACACATTAGTCAGACTAAAGCTTTCCCTTTTAATTGGCTAATGGTTTTATTTACTTTTTGTAAATTACTGACACAATGTCAGCCTTACAGTAAATGATTCTTTATGAAATACTAGAAGATTTACAAGTTAAGTAAATACAATAGGAAGTCCTTTGACGCACAATCATTGCTTTGTTCATTGTTTATAAAAATGCAAGAATATTTAAATTGTGCTTTTTGTTTTATAAGCTGAGAGTCTGACAGCTTTTCCAGAAGAAAGTAATACTGCCAAATGCCACCTATTTACTTCCAAATTACTTTTTAAAATAAGAGATAATTTCTGTGAAGTTCTTCCAGAAATCTCAAGTGCATATTCTGTGAAATCATTGTGGTAAGGTTGCTGTGCTGCTTGTGTGCTGGTTGTGGGGCATGTATCGATGCCAATCCAAACAGCTTCATTTTATCTCTCACAGGGAGAGTTAGTCCCAAGAAGAATGGAAGGAATAGGCTGGAACGGAGCAGCTGGAAGGCAAGCCTGGGGACGACAGGAAGTGAAGGGGCTTAGTGTTAACTCCAACGAGGCATCAGATGCCGGACCTCTCTAGTAGGTGTATTATTTAGGGTGAATCTGGACGCAAACAAGAGAAGACAGTTGACGGACAGATGCCCTAGACAGATTTAGTCCCAGGTTGATCCATTCTGTCGCTTACTGGTGTCCTGAAGCCTCTCATTTTTCTGTTGTGCTTTCCCCAAGTCTGTGTCCCCCAGCCTTTGTCCCTCACGGTCTGGAGCTGGCTCTGGCGACAGTGTCGCTGCATGCAGGGAGGAAACCCTACTGGGTCCTGATTTAAGAACCCTAGGAACTGCCCCGAAAGCCCCCAGAATCTTTTCCACATCTCCTGCACCAGAATTGTGTTCTGTGGCCGTCCGCATCCAGGCTCTTTCTGGAAGAAGGTGCAGATAGAATTAGAGAGAACTGTGTGCTCAGGAGAGTAGTGTCCAGCTGTGCACCGTAGCCCTGAGCAGCCCCTGATGGATGCTGGCTTGAATCACTGTTTGTGAAATGAATAAATCACTGAATATACAGTGTTGATCAGTATTTTTGGCTATCTGTCAGATTCACATGTTCACACCCTACACCATATTATCATAGTCACTTTTAATCAGAGTTTTTGAGAAACTTGACCTCCTCTGTCACTTAGAATGGTTTAACGGCGCCCTCTAGTAGAGTTTGCCACCTTGAGAGTCGTCTTACCCCGCCCATTCTGGTAGCCACCAGCCACAGAGGGTCCGTGAGCCCCTGAAATGTGGTTGATCCAACTTAGAAACAAAATTTTTAATTCCATTTCATTTTAATTCAAGGACATTTAAACTTAAATAGCCACCTGTGACTGGTGGCTGCTGTGCTGCGCTGCAGACGTTCAGCATCCTGGCGGTCTGGAGCCCGGTCTCCCTGGCCACCCTCCTCTGGAAGACTCCCTCCCCTGATTGCAGACTTGCATCCTCCATGCGCTTCATCCTCACTTTTCCTGCTAGAAATCTTTTCAGAGTTGACTGCTTTCTTAGCTCGCCCTTAGCAGATTAGCAGCAGTAACCCACAGGTGCTGTACTGAAGGAAGAGTTGCAGAAACACGAGAATCTGTAAGAAGAACACAAAGTAGAAGCTAGCATTCATGGGGGAAGTAAAAACAAAATAAGATGGAAATCTAACAGTTGCTTTATGAAATCATGAGATTTGGGTTTTGTTTGGGTTTCTCATCCTGGGGGTCCAGAGCACGTCTGAGTGCATCTTTGCATCAGCTGTAGGCACAGAGGCTGCCGAGGAGGGCGACACCAGATGGGCACTGTGGTGACCGGGGACCCCTGGCACTGGTGGGTGGGGCCCGCGGCCCTCCCGGAGATACACCTGTCCCAGCCGTGCAGTGCCTGAGGTTCTTGGCCAGGTTTCTGAAAGCCTGACTGATGCACAGCCTCCCTCCTGTGGGAGCTTTGTCTGCTCTATTAAAATGGAAAAATGTAGCCAAATGCTTTGCCCGCAAGGAGTTGTGAGAGGCATTTCTGAATAGAAAGTGAATCACAGGACCTGACCATGAGTGTTTTGCCGATGCCTTGTCCACCTCTGCTGTAGATTCTAAGTCTTGTTTCAGAGCTTCAGAGATGAGAAAGTAAGCAAACAAAATGCTGAATTAGCACCCCATTTCCATCACATCCAGGGCAGTGATGGCGAACCTTTTAGAGCATTGAGTGATAAGAACAGCCCGCTGTGGCTCACATTCCATAGGTTCACCACCACTGGCCCAGGGCATTGATAAGAGTTAAAGGAGGTTGGGGCCGGGGCTGGGATGTAGCTCAGTGGTGCTGCACCTGCCTGGCAAGCACAAGGTCCTGAATTTGATCCTCAGCTCTGCAAAGAAAAAAAAGAAAAAGAATTAAACGAGGTAATGCACTCGAAGTGTACGCAAATGCTAGACACCTATGAGTAGTTGCAGCGCTTCAATCATTCTTAGACAAAGTCATCCACTGAGGCCCGGGTGTCCCGGAAGGCTTAAGTAGAAAGCAAATGGGTTCCCATCAGCAGCTTGTTTAAATTTAAAAGGCAGAAAATACGTCTTCTGCCTTTAAAAACCAACACTGAGAGAAATGTATGGGAATTACAAGACATAAGACTATGGGCTGGTGCTGAGGCTCTGACCATTCTCATGCAGTAGTGTGGACAAGTGAATTCAGGGGTCTTAGAGATGATAGGGATCATTTTCCTCATGCCTCTTAGAACATTACATCTTTTTGCTTCTTTGTTTGCAGTACTGGTACAGAACCCAGGGCATTCACACTCAGCTGCATCCTCAGTCCTTTTTTATTTTTCATTTTTGAGTCAGGGTTTTACTGAGGTGCCTTGGTCAGATTCAAACTTGTGACCCACCTGCCTCTGCCCCCCAGGGTGCTGGAATTATAGGCGAGTGCTGTCGTTGCTGGCAGAAGTTTAAACTCTTATAGGGGAAAGAACACATTTTGTTCATGGTGGTGGCATACAGCAGTGGAAGTTCATAATCACCACTGCTGTAATTACATAACTGTTTTGAGTAGGTGAAAAGGGTGATTACCTAACCTGGGTTTCGGTAGTACGGTCACAGTCTATGCCTGAAAAGGCCGCTTCACCTTTCCAAGTAGCCCTTTCAGCCAAGCCAGCTATTTTTAGGAAATCACATAGAATTAAAACTTTTTCTTAATGATCCAACTTGACTGAGATACACAGAAAACAGAATGCTTTTTAAAATTATTGACTTGCTTACTTGGTGACTCATTTTTAGCTGGGAAGCAAACATACAGGTACAGTATTTGAAATTTAAAGTTCTCTGTGGGCCTCCGCGCGAGCGAAGGTTGTCCGGGCTGCAGAGCCGGGCAGGCAGGGTCCTCTCTGCGGAGGCGCCAGGCCACACTCCAGACTTTCCAGGAGGTCTCCACCCATCGTGCGATTGCTCCCTGGGTTACAAACCCTCACGCTTGACCTCCTCTTTCCGCAGGGCTCAGCTTGACGGTCGTGTCGCAGGTCTTCTGCGCCGGGTGCTCCACGTGCGCGGCGAAGCTCCTCATGCACATGATGGCAGCCGGCCTGGGGACGCAGGTAGGAGAGCGTGCGGTTTTGCCTGCCTGTAGGGGATTCGTGTTCCGCTTCCTCTGGTCCCAGGCCACGTGGCTGCGTGCTTCGATTTCTGCTTAGTTGAATGAGCTTGCTTCATCAGTGGAGGCTGGGCAGGGAGAATAGGGTACGGACCGAGAGTGTCAGGCCCACCATGCATGCATCTAACTTTGTGGGAAGAAGCACCTTAATACCATCAGATTCGAGAAAATAGCTTCTTATCACAAAGCGCGTCTTATTATCAGCTAATATCTGCTAAATATTTTATTAATGTGTGTATTAATATATGTTGTTTAATCTGTTTTGATGAAATATGCTGTTATAAATTCTTTATATGGAAGGCACGAAGATGATGTACACTGGGTCTGGGGGGCTAGCTCAGCGGTGTAGCATGTGCTTAACATGTACAAGGCTCTGGGTTCAATCCTCAGCACTAAGAAAACAAACAAAGGCCAGGCATGGTGGTGCATGCCTGTAGTGCCAGCACTCAGGAGGCTGAGGCAGGAGGGTTGTAGTGAGTTCAAGGCCAGACTGAACTACATAATGACAGCCTATCTCAAAAAAAGAGAAAAACAAAAGATGATGTATACTTTAAAACACCTGGAGGATATGTATTTCTTCATGTAATAGCATCCGATATAGTTTGGAAGAGCATTCTCTTTTTTTGTTTTTTTGGTTTTTTGGGAGGTGCTGGGGATCGAACTCGGGACCTTGTGCTTGCGAAGCATTCGGCGGCACCACTGAGCTAAACCCCCGGCCCCCAGAACATTCTCTTTTGAAAAGTTGTTCAGTTTTCAATCCTAGGAGAAATAGTGTGAAAAACATCAAATTACTTGTTGGCATGGAGTGTAGAGAATGCGGCTGAGAGCATAGTTTAGGGCCCAGAGGTGATGAAAAGATGAGGCGGAACGCCTTTCCTGCCCGTGCAATTCGGTCTGCAGAAGCGGGGTGCAGTGGACGGCTGTGATGGTGACGGCTTGCAGGCCACCCTAGGGGTTAAAAGATGAGGGCCCCCTTCCTCCGGGGGTCGAGAAGTCTCACAGGGGGCCATGTGAGCTGCCGCGATGAGTGAGCATCTCTGCATTGTTGGTGAGAAGAGGGTGTAGGCGTTTATAGAGGCAACAAGGAGTAAAGCGCAGTCGCTTCTGGAGGCCTGGAGTCACAGGTCCGCACAGGACACGGCGCGATGTTTCCACTGAAAGACTTTTAATGTTACCGGTAAAATAAAGTCCCCGTTCCAGGGCGACCTGTGGGGTGTGGACAATACCGGGTTTTTGTTTGGGCCTGGTTACATGCATGCGGTCAATTTCTGTAAGTTTATTGTGCTACACGCTCACAATTTGCACACTTTTTCATAGTGCCAATGTGCACTTTATTGAACTCAAAACAGTTTTTTTTTTTAAGTGACATCAGTGGAGGAGTGGAAATACAAAATGGAAGATTATCTGGGACATTGCCAGTCTGTGGCCTTTCTTTGTCCAGGAGTGAAAATGACCTGCACGTGTCACAGTTGTGTTTCCGAGATGGGTCCAGTGCTGGCTTGCAGGTACAGGTCCCAGGTGGTGTTTTAACCACCTGTGAACTGCAGGAGGCCTCAGCTTTGAATCCGACAAGGCTGTTTCTGTTTCCTGCACGCCTGCCATAGCTGTCTGATGGAGTCTTCCCTTGTGTGTCAGCTCTTTGTAATTAGAGATAGCTTGGCAGTACTGACCACACATTTTGGTGATGTTTTTGGCAGCAGGATTTGCTCAGGTATTAATTATAGCCCCAGAGAGTTACAGATAGTTCTTCTGCGTGCCAGCAGACAAATCTGCTCATGTCTAGGGATGTGAGAGAAAGACCCCACATGTGTATTTCGGGGCATTGCTTCTCTGAGTCACATTATACTTAACACTGATTTTGAAGACAATCATTAGTCAAATGCATGTTTTTAGAATAGCTGAAGCAGTGTGGCTTGAAAAATCACACATTGTATGACAGTGGATGTGAAATAAATAAAAAAAATTCTCAGATGCTTCAAGATAAGAGATGAAGCTGATTGTACCACATTCTAAATGTTAAAGCTGTGTGTCTAGCTCCAGTTACAGCTCCTTGCAGTGGTCTCTTATTTGGGACCCTCCACCAGTGTTACGGTGCCATCCTTAGGGTTTACATTCACTCTAGAGAAGGCAACAAACACAGAGTTAGTCCATGGCTCTGCGTCATCTTGAGTGTTTGAGTTGTGAGTGCTCTGCAGACAGGTCCACCAAGATCTTGTGGCTGCAAATTGGTATTGCTGACCTAGGACTAAGATGGCTTTTATGAGAAAGGAAGAAAATGGAAATGCGTTAATCCTTGGCTTGCTGTTGGGATGTGTGGAATAATGTATCAGTGAATCAGGTAGTCCAGAAAATGTCCTGAAGTCTGGCTCTATTTCTCTACTTCTAGAAGTATGTAAAATATTATACCTATAATTAATTATATATAATATATTGTATTTATATCCATAGCTAGAGGAAGGTAGACAAAAATCCAGAAAATTATTCTTGCTTTAAAAGTCAAGGCAGGGAGGCAAGGGGGGAAAGAAGATGGAAAAAGGAATTCAATGTGTTATGTACATGTCCCAACTCCACACAAGTAATGTAAACATTATGTTTTACAAACATGTACTATTGAAAAATATTAACATAAAAAAACAAGATACTGTTTTAATCTGGAATACCTTCTAGCACCTTTTAGTTGCATTGACCATGAATCAGCAGCAGAGGGCAGTAGAAGTTTTTTTTTTTTTTTCAAAACTGATCAGTCTAGCAGTGATAAGAGTTTAGTAAAAAAAAACCCCAAAAACTTGATACTATACTTTCCTAGTATTTCTTTGGGCTAGAGAGTGTTTCTCCACAGCACATCAAATGCACATTTGTGATTTCCTACCTTTGTCTTTTTATGCCTTTTATTCAGAATTAAACTATGCATTCGTAAGGTAACATGGGGAAGCTTGTCGTGTAACTGGCTTTGGATATATCCTGTTACCACTTACTGTTTATAGTTAACTTCATAAAATTACTCTGATCATATTTATCCTGTGATAAGCTTTAAGAATTATGTTGCTGATAAAGAAAAATATGTTTATTGGAATGTCATGATTAAGACTTTTGAGATAAGGCCTTTGTTTTTAGTAGTTTATCAAAAAATATGCACTATTTTTCAATGCCAAGGCATGTTTTCCTTATTTACTTGCAAGAAACTGATTAAAGAGCTAGAAATTGTGGAATCACTTGCTTCAAGGATGATGTGAAAAATAGCATTTTAATAGCATTGGGTGATATTTCTGGGGAAAAAATATCTAATATATCTTTGGGGTTTTTAATCTCTGAATCACGTTGCCAAGCTACATGTGCCCTGATAAGGCTGGTAAACAACTTAGACAAAGGATAAGTTTGCAGTTCAGGGTTCTCAGTCCCAGGGTTCTGTCAGGAAAAGCAATTCTCCAAATCTAAAAAAAGAACAGAGATTTCCTCATTGAAAACATGATGATAAGACAGAACTGTATTTACTCTGATTAGTAATACTTAACAAGGGGGGAAACATTTGTTTTTGTCTGTTCATTGTTTGACTTAAATGCATTTTCTGAAATTGAGTAACAAATTTGTCTAGGAGAGAACTTGTGTAAATAAATAGGATCACACTTGCCTGCAAGCCTGTACATTGTCTGAACCCCAGTGTCAGTGCAAAGAGTTAAGAATTTGAAATTCTTGCATTTAATTTTTGTCAACCACTGGATGTCAGGAGTCTCAGCAACATAGCCCTCCCTCAAGAAAGGAAAAGAGAATTGCTTTGAGATTCAGAAGACTGCTCTCTGGAAGGTAGCAAAACTTGAACTGGTAGTATCTTTTGTCCAGTTTCTCATTCTGCAGGATTTGGGGATGTTGTTTTGGGACATCTTGTTTCCCAGGGAGGATCCTGCGCACACTCCCCTGCTAAGAGAGTCTCCTTTAATCCTTGGTTTGTGCCATCCTAGTTCTGAGAATCTGACGTCTGTGAGAAACCCTGCGAGCACAGTCTGTGTGTGACGGAGACCAGAATCCCCTGTGATGGACCAAATGCCAGCTCTTTCCCAATAAGACAGGGCCTGGTTGTTTCCCAAGCAGCTTGCCCTCTTCCCATGAGACCATTAACTCAAGAAAGTTACTGCGTGATTAGGGCCTGAAGACATGTGTCTGTCTTGCTTATTTTGACCAGTGGAAGCAGAGTGAGAAGAGATGGTGAAATGCTCATTGATCTGAACGGATATTTTTCTTAGGTGTTTTGGTTGCTCACTTATAATAGATGATGCTTTGTTATTTCTACTTTTGCTACTGACAAAAACATTTACTAGGTCAAAATGGATCTTGCCTTGAAGAGTGGGACTTTGAGAAGCATAAAGGGTTATTATTTAGTAGAACATCTATGATTTAGTGCAGATGTAAATGGAGCAAGAAAGTGCTTCCTAAATTCAGTGTAGGAGCTTGTTAAAATGCAGACACAGAGTCAGTAAATCAGGGGTGTTTCCCCACCCAGCTGGTTCAGAATTGGATTAACTGTACTATAATCTAAGTATACCTCTTGTTGGTGTTATTGACATTGCTGTTGTAATTATTATTAGTAAAACCAAGCTATCAACCTATTTTCCTTACTATAAAAACTTTTATTTAAAAAAGCCTGTTAATGAAATTTTTACTTTCACTTAAAATATCAGAAAAAGAAAACACCATTGGCCTTGAAACTACTTATATTTATCTTTCCTTGTTAGTTCTTTCTTGCATTTTATTTTTTCTTTTTAAAGTTTTTTATTGATACATTTTGGGGATGAGTACCAGGGATTGAACTCGGGACCTTGTGCTTTCAAGGCAGGCGGTGGAACCACTGAGCTAAATCCCTGCCCCTTTAATTGATACATATTTGATAATTTTATTTATATATATATATATATACACCCTTATAATTATAAGGGTAACCAGCATTTCCAC